GTGAGACTATTACAAAAAGGAGTTGGAGCTCCGATGATGTCCATCATATAATGGACGAAAGCTCAGCCCGTTTTCATCCGATTGCATCAACCTGAACCTGCTTCAGTACAACCGGCTGAGATCGATCTGCGCATCTCCTCTTAATGCAATTTCATACTAAGTGAACATCCCCCTAACAATTTTATCTCATGAGATTCATCTAAACCCAATTAGTCTTTGTAGCTTAATTAATTATTATGTAGGCTTCTAGCATAATCGTATAAAGTCGCTCTATATGTATATTATTTAACATTAAATTATTATTTTTATTGATATGCCTGCTCCCTACACTATTGCTTCAGCATATTAAGTTAGATTGAATTCCCAAATTGCCAAATCAACTAATTGTGGCTATTTATTACATCGTCGGCAAGGGCTGCATCATAAGCCTGGGGCAGTAATGCAATTTTAAACATTTTCCCTTAAACTGTGGGATAGGCGTTTAAGGTATTCTTGGTTAATCTCTCAAAGCTAAATGCCAAGAGAGCACCATACTTATTTCTGAAATTTAGTGTGTGATGGACTAAAATATATGGTTTCCTTTCGAAGTAAGTGAGTCTTTGCGACGGCCACTTCATTTTAAGGCCAAATAGAGTGTGGCAAGCCGGTCTAACATTGTGTGCCGAGCATGTCCTCTAATTAGAAGATCCTACTGAGACGTGTTGAATGGAATAATTTATGACCCTGAGATCAGGCCTATTAATCTCCAATCCCGAAAGTGATTATGTTTATAAAAATGCAAGATAGAAAGACTAGACTGGATGATAATCCAGTTTTGGGATGCGTGTCGCAGATAAACTCTTAGCAAATATCACATTAATTATTCAATTATTGATATTGTTCAATATTTTTCGATGCAAAAGATTTTAGAGATGGATAAATTTATCAAGGCGTTACTGTAAGTTTCTGGCTGTTTTTGAGTTAATCTCCAGTAAATCCAATCTACAACTGGTCAAGCGGAATCCGCCGTCGTCATCTGCTGGAATCGATTTTCGAATCTCTTCACCAAACACTTTTACTCGAAATGGAAGTAGACTCAACAATTATCAAGGCCCTTGTTCTACCTAACCTTTTGGCGCCTCAATTGTTCGTGACTGTCAGCAAACTGAAACTTATAGACTTTCACAACCTACTCTGCTTGCCATACTTGCCTGGTAGACGGACTGACTATCTCTTGGCAGCAAATCGCTTCAATTTGTCTCTGCAACGGAAAACGTTTTATTCTAACTGTACTGCTGCACTGACGACTTTTGGCAATATCCTCGTCAAATTTGCCCACTGTCCAACCAGACCGACTCGTAATGTTAGCCTCAACGGAAGCATCGCAGTCGGTGTTCTCGAACTCAGGCCCAGCAGAAGCCTCATCTTCCTCACCAGAAACTGCTAAGCCCACTTCGGACTGTTTCTTCTCCACACCTTCCTCTTTCCTCTGATTCTGGCATACTGCAAACATGTGTCGGTTCATCTCAACCTGATGCTCTTGCACCAGATAATCTATATTTCCCAAGGAGCCAATGCTTGATGCGGACTCAGAGCTTCCCTTTGAAATCTGCGAGTCAGCGTTCCAGCTGTCTCTCGTCTCATCTTCTTCGCTCGTACGGTTAAATGGCTTTCTGCCGACATCCGAGTATCCAGGTTTACGGCAAGACTTTTGTCTCCAGCTCCACTGACCATCAGGGACCTCTGGTTCTCTAATGGCACTGAGTATAACAGATCCACTGACCCCTCTTTCTCTGGCGCTTAGAGCCCCGTCCCCAGTCCCTGTTTCCCGTTTCGTTCCGCCTCTGAGTGACCTCGCCAGAGCTCGGGGACTGCAACAGAAACAGCCGCTAGACCAGAAAGAACCTCTGAACAGGCAGCAGATCCAATGAAGCCGACGAAGAGATAGGCTGGATCCAGGAGGACCACTGTAACGACCTACCACTCCAGAGGCTCCTGTTTTACTCCTCCAAGGCAACAGTTTCTCGGTGCCTGAGATAAGTTCCGCTTCACGGTTCAAAGTGCATTTGGTCGAGGTGATCTGGCCAGTTAGGCTCTTTCTTTGGCTTGACTCAGTCGGTATTAGTGGCGATTGCTTCTTCTTTTCAGTCCCATCTGATCCGCGTATACGTCGTCTGGTCTCCAGGGCCCATACAGCGAGAAACAGTGGCCAAACTGACTGATGACCTGATGACTGATGGGCTCGATGTGTCGTCTGCCTTTGGTTTAAATGCGTTTGTGGTA